GCGTCTTGTGACTGTAGCGTACGTGTAAGTATGTACGGAAGGACTAAATCGGAGAGATAGGTAGGAGCAAGTCCATGTAATGCTTTGTAGGTTAGCAGTAAAACCTTGAAATCAGCCCTAGCCTTAACAGGCTAGCACTGGAGTAATATTATGATCAAATTTGGGGGTTCTAGTCAAGATTCTAGCAGCCGGGTATCTGGAGAGTAGAGCCTTGCTGTAGTTTAATCTTGAAGTGACAAAAGCATGGATTAGCTTTTTGGACAAAACGTTTAAGATTTTTGAAATGTTACGAAAACAGAAAAAAAGCTGCTCTATCTTCGTCAAAAGAGAGATCTGGATCCAGAGTAACGCAGAGGTCCTTCACAGTTTTATTTGAGACGACTATACAACCATCAAGATTAATTGTCAGCTCAAACAGCAGATATTTTTGTTTCTTGGGACCTAGAACTAGCATCTCGGTTTTGTCTGAGTTTAAAAGTAAAACATTTGCAGCCATCCACTTCCTTATGTCTGAAACACATGCTTCCAGGGTAGGCAATTTTGAGGCTTCACCATGTTTCATTGAAATGTCATCTGCTTCATCGAAGTGTCATCTGCATAGCAGTGAAAGTTGACATTGTGTTTTCAGAATGACATCACCAAGAGGTAGCATATATAGTAAAAGAACGGAACCTTGAAGAACACTAAAACTTACCAGAGGACAAACCATCCACAGAGACAAACGGATATCTTTTCCAACAGATAAGATCTAAACCAGGCAAGAACTTGTCCGTGTAGACCAATTAGGGTTTCCAATCTCTCCAAAAGAATGTGGTGATCGATGGTGTGGAAAGCGGCACAAAGGTCAAGGAGCACGAGGTCAGACGCAGAGCAGTGGGAGTTTCATAGAAAAGTAGCAGATTCTACATCCTGGAGTGGGTGGATTAGAAAGTGTTTCTGGACATATAGACCTCAGTCCCCCATGAAAGAATACCATATAAAGATTCTACAGACCCTACTGAATAATCCCAACCCCACTAATACTTTGGCATCTAGAATAGTTTTCTCTCTATATGCCAATATGTAATTTATAGGCCTATACACTGAGTGTACAAAACCTTAGGAACACCTGCTCTCTCCATGACATAGACTGACCAGGTGAATCCAGGTGAAAGCTACGATCCCTTATTGATGTCACATGTTAAATCCACTTTAATCAGTGTAGATGAAGGGGAGGAGACTGGTTAAATAAGGATTTTTAAGCCTTGAGACAATTGAGACATGGATTGTGTATGTATGCCATTCAGAGGGTGATTGGGCAATACAAAAGATTGAAGTGCCTTTGAACGGGGTATGGTAATAGGTGCCAGGCACAACGGTTTGAGTGTGTCAAGAACTGCAAGAATGGTCCACCACCCATCCAGCCAATTTAACACAACTGTGGAACACATTGGAGTCAACATGGGCCAGCATCCCTATGGAATTTAGGCTGTTCTGAGGGCAAAAGGGGGTGCAACTCAATATTAGGAAGGTGTTCCTAATGCTCTGTACACTCAGTATAGTGTATTGCATTGGGACCAAAAGAGTGGGCGGAGTAGAAAGTGTTGCTGGGTATATAGACCTCAGTCCCCCATGAAATAACACCATACAGTGGGGGAAAAAAGTATTTAGTCAGCCACCAATTGTGCAAGTTCTCCCACTTAAAAAGATGAGAGAGGCCTGTAATTTTCATCATAGGTACACGTCAACTATGACAGACAAATTGAGAAAAATCCAGAAAATCACATTGTAGGATTTTTAATGAATTTAATTTAGCCAGGACACCTGGGTTAACACCCCTACTCTTACAACAAGTGCCATGGGATCTTTAGTGACCACAGAGAGTCAGGACACCTGTTTAACGTCCCATCCGAAAGACGGCACCCATCCGAAAGACAGAAGCCAATATGTATTCCATATAAAGGGAATCGCATGGTGGCCAATCGAATGGGTGGAGTAAAAGGCCAGCAACACTCCGTATTATTCAGTGCCCCATGAAATGACACCATGTATACACTACTGAGTATTCCCTACAATACTTTCAAGGTGGCACCTAGCATACTTTTTTGCTCTACACACCAATATGTTTTCCATATACAGTGATTTGCATTGGGGGCATTTATTTGACCTTGGAACATTGCAAATGTTACTTAAATATGAACAAATATGAATCATTGTTAATGTTTAGACAATTATTTTTCCTATATCATGAATAAATACATGTTATTTACACTTTTCTACTATTACGTAGGGGACTTTTATTTTGAACATTTCCGGAATTCCGTGACACGGAAGTACTTTTTTAGTGTTGTTGACAAGGTGCTGATAAGATAACGCGTTTTCCAAAATCTGGCAACTGAAGGGAAATAAAAAAATAATTAACAGTTCAGGTCGATGTGATACATGTCCCGACCTGCGACATACGTATTATCCCTCTAGATGTGGTGGACATGGAATTGGAACGAATAAAAATTCCGACTAGCTTCTTGCCAATTTAGTAACGGTAGTGCTAGTTCAGAAAGGACTGCTCTGACGTAGCTAGTTGCTAGCTAGGCTACTGTAAACAAGCCATCTAGCGACCTGTCACTGTGGTGAGATGCCTATCGAAAGAACTCTCTCGGACCTCCGTTCACGGGTGGAGGGTAGGTGTTCTTTGTCTATCACATACTTAATTGATGGCCTACAACTCCTAGTTACTACTGACTAGCCAGTTTTAGGCTACATTTTAAAAGGATCTCAATGAAGAGAATGTTCCCCTGACTAGCTAGTTACCGTTCGCTAGCTAGATATGATTGTGAAATAGCTAGCTAGGTTTATAGAAAATGGCTTTTCTTATCACATCATTGACAGTGAAATGTAGTATGCATGCTGTTGCTTGAGAATTGAACAATATACAGCATTTCAACTCACCTGCACTACACTTTCTATCTAGCGTCTAGCCTATCTCTGTCCTGCTTTTCCAACCCACACCTTTAGGGTCAAATGGCAAAGGCTCCTCCACTACTGATTCATCTGGAGAATCATGCCCCTAAACCCTGCTGCTCTTCCCTGTGTTTGTCAGAGAGGTCACTGAACCAGTCAGATGAGGAAATGCTGTTCAGTTGTAGCAGACTGTCATCAGCGCACGTGTCTATACTGACTCTCTCAAGATCATTATTTCCTATAAATGATTTTCTGAACTGAAGCACAAAACCCCCCAGAAGTCATTGGCTGCTTTTCCATGGTCATGTTGATGCCCACGATCATCTATTCAACTCCCACTGTTGTCTCCAAATCTTGCATTCACTAAGAAAATAAGGGCTATACCAGCTAATGACAGAGCCCCTTGATTTCTCCCCCAATTTCCTCTTTGAAGACTGTGCAGTGACAGAGTTATGCACGAGTAACAGTGGAATCAATGGTCTTTGCCTTTGCCTTGGTTACACTGTACTGTATGTGGATGCTGTGTGGGCAAAATCGCTCTTAGTGTGTCACGAGATCACACAATGTTTCTGTGGGCATGACCACTGAATTAAGCACTTTTGTTGTGTCTGACTGTTAATTAGGCCTAGTTAGGTTTTGAAGGTTCCACAGCCTGTAGTGAAAGTGTTGTTGGCCTGTCTGAAGATTTAAATGAAAATGATTATTATAATTCAGGTTCGCATTGATGTCAATGGAAGATTTGTGTGTAGCGTAAGCTTCTGTTACTCCTGCAGATCTGAGTCAGGGTATTAGGCCCAATGATTTATACATACACTAGATGACTGATAGGGGCCGCTGTGTTGATGCCACCGTGCCGCCATCTTGGCACTCCCCCAAAATGCATTTATTAATGTCTACATTCGTTTTTGCCACGTTTATTCTATTACAAACACCTTAATGCATACTTTTTAAATGATATTATATGAGCTAAACATTTTTTTTAAATGAAAAAACATATATTTTTTCTTAATGTATATTTTTCTGAGATTACTAATGTTACTGTCCCCACTACAACAACAAACAATACTTAAATACTGTACATGTGATTTGGTCCTTCGTCCTTTGTTTAATTGAAATACTGTAGAATTCAATGTATTCCTATGGAGGACTGCTCCTACTGGGGGTTGCCAATATGGCCGACCGGTGCAGTCAAAGCCTCTCAATGGCCAATACATAGCAAATAGCAATCTAGGGTTTATATACATCATTGATTGTGCCCTTAGGCTAATAACCTTAGGCTAATAATCTCTTTAGTCTCTAAATCTAAATGAGTTTACACTCTGTAGGAGTGCGAGAAGATGCACTGTTTTTCCTTAGACACTCTAATCCGTTTAGGCTATAGGCCAGTGCCATTCAGGGCGCCGATGGTCTTGCGCCATTGTTGAATGTGCAGGAGATGGTAATTACACACAGAAACCTGGTATGTTAAAGGCCTATCAGCTAACAGATGTTTGTGGAGACGTTTTTAACAGGCTATATAAGAGAGAGTGAATCTTTGTTCGGGAGGAAAAGAAAGATGAGAGAGGCTGGGCTATGTCCCAATGTCTGTTATAACTAACCCGGTACCGACTAATAAAACATTTACATGAACTCCCCATCAAAAGTGACTAAGTACATCCTTACATTCGTAATCACTTGATACCCTAGAAACTCATCATAACAGTTAAAGGCCTATCAGTTGTTGTAAAGCCTAATAGGGTAAGATGTCTTTCTTCCCATTATCCCATAGGATATGAGAAGATTGAGGAAGCTACATCGAGGACCTCTATAGCTGACCGTGAGGATACCAGACATATATTCATCAATCAGCCTCAATCTACTAAGTTCTGCACCAATCATGTCAGGTAGTGTTTACACTTGTTATTAGTTTGTAATTACCATTTTACCATGTCATTTCTTCGTAAACACCTGATCATATCTGTACCGTGCTGCTGAATATTGTTGCGGATTTCTCTCTCGCCTTTTCCAGCACAGCCAAATACAATGTGCTTACCTTCCTGCCTCGATTCCTGTACGCTCAGTTCAGGAGGGCTGCTAACTCATTCTTCCTGTTCATTGCACTGCTGCAGGTTGGTCTAAGTAATTATATAGTATATTTTGCACATTTCAGCACTGTTTAGAAGACAGAAATTCTCACCTATCAGACACACAAATCGTGGTTGTTAAATGGATAGTTAACTTTTTTTTAGGTTTTACCTTATTAATCGACTTAACCCTTTTTTACCAAACCTTAGGTAACTATCACTTTAAGACACTGACTAACTATGTCTGCATTCTCCCTTCTCCTGGTAGCAAATTCCGGATGTTTCTCCGACAGGACGGTGGACTACCCTGGTTCCCTTGATCCTCATCCTGTTGGTGGCAGCCCTGAAGGAGATCGTTGAGGATCTGGTGAGGACCATAGAACTAGAATGACATTTAAATATATCTCCGTTATGTGTCTGCTCTCTGAAAACGTGTCTGAAAGTCGTTCTTCTACTCGCTGACCGTGCAGCTTTTGATTTTCTTGAAACTGATTCCATAGAAAGGTCCTTTTGGAGGAAGGATGCTTGACATGTAATAAAGCTAGTGGACAGAGCAAATTTCACTTTTTGAATGTTCTTTCCAACAGAAACGTCACAAAGCAGACAGGGTGGTCAACAGGAAGGAGGCCCAAGGTAAGAAACGGTTGAAATGATATCTCCATTACTGCTTTTCAAACAGGTGTAGGTTATTGGACAGATTTTAGTATCAGGATTTGCTAACATAGTTCTCTCTTGTCTCCCCCTCTCCTCTCTTCTTCCCGTTTCCCTATTTCTTCCCTGTCTCTCTCTTTGTCAGTTCTGAGAAATGGAGCGTGGGAGACAGTTCACTGGGAGAAGGTATGTCGCTCAGTCTCAGGCCAGAGGCAGGTATTTTCTACTTACTTTCTCTGCCTTCAGATGGACTAAATCCTAATTGATGTCTAGTGATTCAATGGTTAAGTTGAGCCACAGTCTCTCACTGAATAGGGTGTACATTTAAGTTGTCATATTTTAAGTGGCCTAGTAGTTTATTCTTCATTAGGGGGGGGAGAGACTTAAGATTCAGACCTAGCTACTGATTGAAACACATGTATTTCACGGGTTCAGAAGAAAAACAGCATTGGTTGTATGTGTTTATCTATATCATGTCTAGTAACTACTGTAGTGTTCTTTGCAGGTAGAGGTGGGGGATGTAGTCAAATTAATTGGGAGAGAATACATCCCTGCAGACTCAGTCGTGCTGTCCTCCAGGTAGTGCTATAAACAGAGACGGTAGTTTGATGTGGTTAGCGTGAGGGCCAGTACTATGCTTCTTTGCTTTAGGCTTCAGTAACCACTCTCCCAGCTTCAGTAGGTCACACTATCTGTGTTAGTTGTTCTGATGTCTTGTTTTGAAGTAGTCTCTATCTCTTCCTCTTCCTCTCCTCTTCCCTCCGTTCCCTGTGTTCTGTCTGTCAATGTGTCTGTCTGTCTGTCTGTGTGCCCATGTTTCTGCCCCCTACCCCGACCGTTCCCTGGTCGCTCCTGGTACGTTCTTTTGCGGGTAACTTAGGTGACGGTCGGGGACGTAGTCAGATCCAGCGACGGGGACCACCTCCCGGCGGACCTCGTCCTGCTGACGTCCAGGTCAGGGGTCTAGTAGTCTACTGGCTATGGGGCCAAAAAATCAAACCCATTGGTACAGTGTTGCACCTATCACCTTTTGACTAGCCCGTGTGGTTGTAAAGGACACAAGGGGGACAAAAAAAGGATCCTACTTAATTCTCATTGCCAAATGCCCCGTGTCATACTTGAATCCTTGTGAGCGGGACTACCCCCCTTGTTCTCTGTCTGTACCAGGCACTCATCCCTTCCTCCTTACATTACTGTCTAAAGTGAAAGGTCTATCTATGTGTTTTACTGATAATAAACCTAGCTATTAGACCAGAGAGCACTCGTCTCGGAGTTTAGTACTTTACTGTCTCCCCAGTGCTATGGCGACAGTAGCATCGCTGTTCTCTCCCTGGATCTCTTTTCTTCCCCAATCTCTTTCCCTGTTGTTAGATCACACCTGGACCATTATAGATACCTTCTAGATTGTTTGACAGTCACTATCTTTCCACCAGCGAGCCACATGCTATGTGCTACATCGAGACCTCGAATTTAGACGGGGAGACCAACCTAAAGATCCGACAGGTGAAGGTTCTTAATTCATCCACACACACACACACACACACACACACACACACAACACACACACAAATACACACACAACACACACACACATACACACACAACACACACACACACACACACACACAAAAACATACCACTTATTACGTTACATTGTGGCCCAGATAGGAGGATTCAGCTCATCAACTCACCCCTGCATCTCTTCCTCCTCCTTCCTCCAACCAGGGTCTCCAGGTCACAGCGGAGGACAAGGATGCTGATAGTCTGTCGCGGCTGAGCGGGCGCATGGAGTGCGAAAACCCCAATCGCCACCTCTACGACTTTGTGGGCGTCATCCGATTAGAGGGTCATAGGTGAGAGAGATCTACCTGTCTATCAATCAGTTATATCTATATAGGTCCTAGCCCTTTCTACAGCAACAGTAACCTAGCCTAGACCCCCATCGAGCATTCAGCAGCACAGTGGCCAAGGAAAAGTTTCCACCCTCTGACACAGCTTAAATAGTCAGTGTGAATCGCTAATTCCTAGGGTTGCAAAAATCCGGTAGCTTTCCCAAAATTCCCAGGTTTTCCCAAGGAATCCTCCAACTAGTATTTCTGGAAACCTGGGCATTTTGGGAAAGTTCCTGAAATGTTGCAACCCTACTAATTCCGTCTCTCTAACCCCTGATGTCCCCCGATCCGTTCTCCCCAGTCCCGTCCCTTTGGGTCCGGAGCAGATCCTTCTCCGTGGGGCCCGGCTCCGGAACACCCAGTGGGTCCACGGCATGGTGGTGTACACGGGCCACGACACCAAGCTGATGCAGAACAGCACACGGCCTCCGCTCAAGCTGTCCAGCGTGGAGCGCATCACCAACACCCTGATCCTGGCGCTGTTCGGCTGCCTGCTGGCAATTTCCCTGGTCTGTTCGGCCGGACAGACCCTCTGGAAGACCCAGCACGGGGACTTCGCCTGGTACATGGACCTCAACTGTGAGTACTTAACTTTTCTTTATGTTACCTTACTTTACGTTATGTTACTTTACGTTGAGTTACTTTTCGTTAAGTTACTTTATGTTAAATTACTTTATGTTATGCTATTTTACATTATACTACTTTATGTGAAATTACTTTATGTTAAATTACTTTATGTAATGCTACTTTATGTAATGCTACTTTACGTTGTGTTACTTTACGTTAAGTTACTTTATGTTAAATTACTTTACGTTATGCTACTTTACGTTATACTACTTTACATTATGCTAACTTTACGTAATTCTACTTTACTTTACGTAATGCTACTTTATTTTACTTTACGTTACTTTATTCTATTAGTACAATGTGATGTAGGATGTATACGATCATGGAGGCACTTTAAATCAGACTGATATTTGGTTGAAGTCGGAGGTTTACATACACCTTAGCCAAATACATTTAAACTCAGTTTTTCACAAGTCCTGACATTTAATCCTAGTAAAAATTCCCTGTCTTAGGTCAGTTAGGATCACCACTTTATTTTAAGAATGTGAAATGTCAGAATAATAGTAGAGAGAATGATTTATTTAAGCTTTTATTTATTTCATCACATTCCCAGTGGGTCAGAAGTTTACATACACTCAATTAGTATTTGGTAGCATTGCCTTTAAATTGTTCAACTTGGGTCAAACGTGTCGGGTAGCCTTCCACAAGCTTCCCACAATACGTTGGGTGAATTTTGGCCCATTCCTCCTGACAGAGCTGGTGTAACTGAGTCAGGTTTGTAGGCCTCCTTGCTCGCACACGCTTTTTCAGTTCTGCCCACACATTTTCTATAGGATTGAGGTCAGGGCTTTGTGATGGCCACTCCAATACCTTGACTTTGTTGTCCTTAAGCCATTTTGCCACAACTTTGGAAGTATGCTTGGGGTCATTGTCCATTTGGAAGACCCATTTGCGACCAAGCTTTAACTTCCTGACTGATGTCTTGAGATGTTGCTTCAATATATCCACATCATTTTCCTTCCTCATGATGCCATCTATTCTGTGAAGTGCACCAGTCCCTCCTGCAGCAAAGCACCCCCCACAGCATGATGCTGCCACCCCTGTGCTTCACGGTTGGGATGGTGTTCTTCGGCTTGTAAGCACACCCTTTTTCCTCCAAACATAACGATGGTCATTATGGCCAAACAGTTCTATTCTTGTTTCATTAGACCAGAGGACATTTCTCCAAAAAGTATGATCTTTTGTCCCCATGTGCAGTTGCAAACCGTAGTTTGGCTTTTTTATGGCGGTTTTGGAGTAGTGGCTTCTTCCTTGCTGAGCGGCCTTTCAGGTTATGTCGATATAGGACTCGTTTTACTGTAGATATAGATACTTTTGTACATTTTTCCTCCAGCATCTTCACAGGGTCCTTTGCTGTTGTTCTGGGATTGATCTGCACTTTTCGCACCACAGTGCGTTCATCTCTAGGAGACAGAACGCGTCTCCTTCCTGAGCGGTATGAAGGCTGCGTTGTCCCATGGTGTATATACTTGCGTACTAATGTTTGTACAGATGAACGTGGTACCTTCAGATGTTTGGAAATTGCTCCCAAGGATGAACCAGACTTGTGGAGGTCTACAATTATTTTTCTGAGGTCTTGGCTGATTTATTTAGGGTTTCCCATGATGTCAAGCAAAGAGGCACTGAGGTTGAAGGTAGGCCTTGAAATACACTGCTCAAAAAATAAAGGGAACACTTAAACAACACATCCTAGATCTGAATGAATGAAATAATCTTATTAAATACTTTTTTCTTTACATAGTTGGATGTGCTGACAACAAAATCACACAAAAATTATCAATGGAAATCAAATGTATCAACCCATGGAGGTCTGGATTTGGAGTCACCCTCAAAATTAAAGTGGAAAACCACACTACAGGCTGATCCAACTTTGATGTAATGTCCTTAAAACAAGTCAAAATGAGGCTCAGTAGTGTGTGTGGCCTCCACATGCCTGTATGACCTCCCTACAACGCCTGGGCATGCTCCTGATGAGGTGGCGGATGGTCTCCTGAGGGATCTCCTCCCAGACCTGGACTAAAGCATCCGCCAACTCCTGGACAGTCTGTGGTGCAACGTAGCGTTGGTGGATGGAGCGAGACATGATGTCCCAGATGTGCTCAATTGAATTCAGGTCTGGGGAATGGGCGGGCCAGTCCATAGCATCAATGCCTTCCTCTTGCAGGAACTGCTGACACACTCCAGCCACATGAGGTCTAGCATTGTCTTGCATTAGGAGGAACCCAGCGCCAACCGCACCAGCATATGGTCTCACAAGGGGTCTGAGGATCTCATCTCGGTACCTAATGGCAGTCAGGCTACCTCTGGCGAGCACATGGAGGGCTGTGCGGCCCCCCAAAGAAATGCCACCCCACACCATGACTGACCCACTGCCAAACCGGTCATGCTGGAGGATGTTGCAGGCAGCAGAACGTTCTCCACGGCGTCTCCAGACTCTGTCACGTCTGTCACATGTGCTCAGTGTGAACCTGCTTTCATCTGTGAAGAGCACAGGGCGTCAGTGGTGAATTTGCCAATCTTCGTGTTCTCTGGCAAATGCCAAACGTCCTGCACGGTGTTGGGCTGTAAGCACAACCCCCACCTGTGGACGTCGGGCCCTCATACCACCCTCATGGAGTCTGTTTCTGACCGTTTGAGCAGACACATGCACATTTGTGGCCTGCTGGAGGTCATTTTGCAGGGCTCTGGCAGTGCTCCTCTTGCTCCTCCTTGCACAAAGGCGGAGGTAGCGGTCCTGCTGCTGGGTTGTTGCCCTCCTACGGCCTCCTCCACGTCTCCTGATGTACTGGCCTGTCTCCTGGTAGCGCCTACATGCTCTGGACACTATGCTGACAGACACAGCAGACCTTGCCACAGCTCGCATTGATGTGCCATCCTGGATGAGCTGCACTACCTGAGCCACTTGTGTGGGTTGTAGACTCTGTCTCATGCTACCACTAGAGTGAAAGCACCGCCAGCATTCAAAAGTGACCAAAACATCAGCCAGGAAGCATAGGAACTGAGAAGTGGTCTGTGGTCACCACCTGCAGAACCACTTCTTTATTGGGGGTGTCTTGCTAATTGCCTATCATTTCCACCTGTTGTCTATTCCATTTGCACAACAGCATGTGACATTTATTGTCAATCAGTGTTGCTTCCTAAGTGGACAGTTTGATTTCACAGAAGTGTGATTGACTTGGAGTTACATTGTGTTGTTTAAGTGTTCCCTTTATTTTTTTGAGCAGTGTACATCCACAGGTACACCTCCAATTGACTCAAATGATGTCAATTAGCCTATCAGAAGCTTCTAAAGCCATGACATCATTTTCTGGAATTTTCCAAGCTGTTTAAAGGCACAGTCAACTTAGTGTATGTAAACTTCTGACCCACTGGAATTGTGATACAGTGAATTAGAAGTGAAATAATCTGTCAGTAAACAATTGTTGGAAATATTACTTGTGTCATGCACAAGTAGATGTCCTAACCAACTTGCCAAAACTATAGTTCGTTTACAAGAAATTTGTGGGGTTTTAATGACTCCAACCTAAGTGTATGTGAACTTCCAACTTCAACTGTATTATTGTATTATACCAATGTAATGTTTGTATCTGTAACTTGTGTTTGATCCCAATTTAGTACCCAGTAAATATCTGATATATAATCATTTACATTAACCATTACCCTCTCATTAAATGTGATGACATTTGTTTTTATCTCTTTACCACTGTACTCTTAACAGCTCCAGGTAACAACCTTTCTCAGAGGCCTGTAGAAATGTTTTTGGTTGTATCCCCCAGACGAGTGAATTAGACCCCATTCTTCATTAAAATAGATTTTGTCTGAGAACATAGAAGTAGAGCTGTAGATTATTTTATATGTGAATTCCATGGTAAATAATGTGCCTCGTGTGTACTAGCTAGTCATGTTTTAAATACTGTTTTAAACGGCATACCGTAGTAAAACAAAAATGAGTGTTCAGAACTAAAAAAATGAGAACAACTCCCTGTTTGAACTCTGTTTTGCACCGTTTTATCCCTAGTGAACATGTCCCAGGTCTAAAGAAAGGGTTTGTTGTGGCACCTGACTTTCAGATTAGAATGAAGGTCATTTCTCCCGTTCTGTGTAACTTGCTCTAACTCCTTCCTACCAGATGGTGGCGCTGCCAACTTTGGCCTCAACTTCCTCACCTTCATTATCCTCTTCAACAACCTCATCCCCATCAGTCTGCTGGTCACCCTGGAGGTCATCAAGTTCGTCCAGGCTTACTTCATCAACTGGGTGGGGGAAAAAAATCACTGCACTACACAGCCTCTAACTTGGTTTCTCAGAGCGGCAGTCAATTTGAATTTAATTCTGGTAGCGAACACTCTTGAGTAGAAGTTTAAATGGAATAATACCACAGGGGTAAATGTATTTACTTCAAAAAGCTTGGTGAGCAGTTTTGGCAAATATGGAATTTGATATAGTATACGTGAGCGAGCATACAAATGCTCGTACTATGATAGATTTGGGATATTAAATTTATGCAATGAATTTCTCCACATCTTGTTTGTGCTGCAAAGCCTATTGGGGGAAGTGAATGTGTTTGTGTTTGTTCAGGACATGGACATGCACTATGAGCCTACGGATACCTCTGCCATGGCACGGACCTCCAACCTAAACGAGGAACTGGGCCAGGTCAAATACATCTTCTCTGACAAAACAGGCACCCTCACCTGCAACGTGATGCAATTTAAAAAGTGCACCATCGCCGGAGTCGCTTACGGGTGAGAAGGACGTGCGTTAATCCAACCATATAGGCATGAATTAGCATTAATAATTCTACAGTACCTTGCAAAATTATTCACCCCCCTTGGCGTTTTTCCTATTTTGTTGCATTACAAGCAGTAATTTAAATTGATTTTTATTTGGATTTCATGTAATGGACATACACAAAATAGTCCAAATTGGTGAAGTGAAATGAAAAAAAATTACTTGTTTCAAAAAATTATACAAAATAAATAACGGAAAAGTGGTGCGTGCATATGTATTCACCCCCTTTGCTATGAAGGCCCTAAATAAGATCTGGTTAAATAAAGTTAACCCGTGTGCAATCTAAGTATCACATGATCTGTCACATGATCTCAGTATATATACACCTGTTCTGAAAGGCCCCAGAGTCTGTAACGCCACTAAGCAAGGGGCACCACCAAGCAAGCGGCACCATGAAGACCAAGGAGCTCTCCAAACAGGTCAGGGACAAAGTTGTGGAGAAGTACAGATCAGGGTTGGGTTATAAAAAAATATCAAAAACTTTGAACATCCCACGGAGCACCATTAAATCCATTATAAAAAAATGGAAAGAATATGGCACCACAACAAACCTGCCAAGAGAGGGCCGCCCACCAAAACTCACGGACCAGGCAAGGAGGACATTAATCAGAGGCAACAAAGAGACCAAAGATAACCCTGAAGGAGCTGCAAAGCTCCACAGCGGAGATTGGAGTATCTGTCCATAGGACCACTTTAAGCCATACACTCCACAGAGCTGGACTTTATGGAAGAGTGGCCAGAAAAAAGCCATTGCTTAAAGAAAAAAATAAGCAAACACATTTGGTGTTCGCCAAAAGGCAAGTGGGAGACTCCCCAAACATATGGAAGAAGGTACTCTGGTCAGATGAGACTAAAATTGAGCTTTTTGGCCATCAAGGAAAATGCTATGTCTGGCGCAAACCCAACACCTCTCATCACCCCGAGAACACCATCGGCAGGGACTGGGAAACTGGTCAGAATTGAAGGAATGATGGATGGCGCTAAATACAGAGAAATTCTTGAGAGAAACCTTTCAGTCTTCCAGAGATTTGGACTGCGACGGAGGTTCACCTTCCAGCAGGACAATGATCCTAAGTATACTGCTAAAGCAACACTCGAGTGGTTTAAGGGGAAACATTTAAATGTCTTGGAATGGCCTAGTCAAAGCCCGACCTCAATCCAATTGAGAATCTGTGGTATGACTTAAAGATTGCTGTACACCAGCGGAACCCATCCAACTTGAAGGAGCTGGAGCAGTTTTGCCTTGAAGAATGGGCAAAAATCCCAGTGCTAGATGTGCCAAGCTTATAGAGACAAATCCCAAGAGACTTATGCACGCTCAAGTTTTCAGTTTTTTTGTCTTATTTCTTGTTTGTTTCACAATTTTTATTTATTTTGCATCTTCAAAGTGGTAGGCATGTTGTGTAAATCAAATGATACAAACCCCCCAAAAATCAATTTGAATTCCAGGTTGTAAGGCAACAAAATAGGACCAATGCCAAAGGGGGGGAATACTTTCGCAAGCCACTGTATGTACTTTGCTAGATATGTATCTCATTGTATTTTTATTGTAGTGCTTATCCACACAGTTATGTGGTGTAGTACAGATGTTTATTCTCATCTCAGTTGTAAACATATTTAAAATAGTAGATAAACCAAAAATGTAAATATGTAACATTTAGTTGTTTTTGTGTCTGAAAGGCACAACACAGACGGTCCTGAGGAAGAGGGCTTTGGTGATCCATCCTTACTGGAGAATCTCCACAATGATCATGTGAGTACATAACGTTAGACTATGTACTAGTTGTCAGTTTCAACATTATTATTTTGAATTTTTTTGTGTCATGTATTAATTGTGTGTGTCCAGCTCACAGCTACCGTTATCCAAGAGTTTCTGACCATGATGGCTGTGTGCCACACTGTTGTTCCTGAGAAGACTGAGGACACCATAGTCTATCAGGCATCTTCCCCAGGTACACAGGTCTACAATACCATTCTCTAGCTCTCCAATGCATTGGATTACACCTCTTCTACTATATTACACCTCTTCTACTATATTACACCTCTTCTACTATATTACACCTCTTCTACTATATTACACCTCCTCTTCTACTATATTACACCTCTTCTACTATATTACACCTCTTCTACTATATTACACCTCTTCTACTATATTACACCTCTTATACTATATTACACCTCTTATACTATATTACACCTCTTATACTGTATTACACCTCTTCTACTGATATTAACACCGCTTCTACTATATTACACCTCTTCTACTATATTACACCCTCTTCTACTATACCCTTACACCTCTTTACTAATTAAAGCCCTCGTCTAGTAGATTACAAACCTCTTCTACGATATTACCCTACTGTATTACCCTACCATATTACACACCTCTTCTACTATATTACACCTCTTCTACTATATTACACCTCTTCTACTATATTACACCTCTTCTACTGTATTACACCTCTTCTACTGTATTACACCTCTTCTAGTATATTACACCTCTTCTACTGTATTACACCTCTTCTACTATATTACACCTCTTCTAGTATATTACACCTCTTCTACTATATTACACCTCTTCTACTGTATTACACCTCTTCTACTATGTTACACCTCTTCTACTATATATGTTACACCTCTTCTACTATATTACACCTCTTCTACTATATTACACCTCTTCTAGTATATTACACCTCTTCTACTATATTACACCTCTTCTACTATATTACACCTCTTCTACTATATTACACCTCTTCTACTATATTACACCTCTTCTACTGTATTACACCTCTTCTACTATATTACACCTCTTCTACTATATTACACCTCTTCTACTATATTACACCTCTTCTACTGTATTACACCTCTTCTACTGTATTACACCTCTTCTACTATATTACACCTCTTCTACTTATTACACCTCTTCTACTAATATTACAACCTCTTCTAGTATATTACACCTCTTCTACTATATTACACCTCTTCTACTGTATTACACCTCTTCTACTATGTTACACCTCTTCTACTATATATGTTACACCTCTTCTACTATATTACACCTCTTCTACTATATATGTTACACCTCTTCTACTATATTACACCTCTTCTACTATATATTGTATACAACACTCTTCTACTATATTACACCTCTTCTACTATATTACACCTCTTCTACTATATTACACCTCTTCTACTATATTACACCTCTTCTACTATATTACACCTCTTCTACTATATTACACCTCTTCTACTATATTACACCTCTTCTACTATATTACACCTCTTCTACTATATTACACCTCTTATACTATATTACACCTCTTCTACGTATATTACACCTCTTCTAGATATTACAACCTCTTCTACTATATACACCTCTTCTACTATATACACCTCTTCTACTATATTACACCTCTTCTAGTATATTAAACACCTCTTCTAGTATATTACACCTCTTCTAGTATATTACACCTCTTCTAGTATATTACACCTCTTCTACTATATTACACCTCTTCTACTATATTACACCTCTTCTACTATATTACACCTCTTCTACTATATTACACCTCTTCTACTATATTATACCTCTTCTAGTATATTACACCTCTTCTACTATATTACACCTCTTCTACTATATTACACCTCTTCTACTATATTACACCTCTTCTACTATATTACACCTCTTCTACTATATATATTACACCTCTTCTACTATTGCCTTTATGACGTTGTACAGTTTCCTCTTTGATTCTACACCTTCACTCCTGAATATGAACATCCTCAACCACTTCAAGGTTACTTATTATGATGTTTTCTTCCCCTGTCTAGATGAAGGGGCCCTGGTGAGAGCAGCCAGCAGCCTGGGCTTTGTATTCTCTGGACGAACCCCAGACTCAGTCATCATACACGCTGTAAGTGGAACCAACTTATTATGTTATGTAGAATTTGAGTAAAAACAATGTTTGTTTGAATCAGAGCCATACATTTTAGATTAAAGGTTTGGAATTCTAGCTGCTATTAGTGCTGCATATTACTGTATAGGAACACATGGCATTGTTTTGTCTTTGTTACAGCTGGGAACTGAGCAAAGGTTTGAGTTGCTGAATGTCCTCGAATTTACAAGGTAGTTTTTTGTATGCATTTGATGAGTCTTGTAGATGTCTTGAAGTGTCCCGTCTATTGTCGGACTGTATTTGACTCTTGGTTCTCTTTTGAAAAGCCGTATCTTTTCTCATTTTTTAGCGATCGCAAAAGGATGTCAGTCATCATGCGTACACCGTCCGGGCGGATCCGACTTTACTGCAAAGGAGCGGTTAGTATGGAGAACTAAGACTACACACATTGTCTATTTTTTTTAATGTGTTTCCTCAAATGAAGATAATGCAACTCCAGAGTTTGCTTTTTTATTTATTTATTTATTTCACCTTTATTTAACCAGGTAAACCAGTTGAGAACAAGTTCTCATTTACAACTGCGACCTGGCCAAGATAAAGCAAAGCAGTGCGATAAAAACAACAACACAGAGTTACATATGGGGTAAAACAAAACAAAGTCAAAAATACAACATAAATAAATATATATACAGTGTGTGCAAATGTAGCAAGTTATGGAGGTAAGGCAATAAATAGGCTATAGTGCAAAATAATTACAATTAGTATTAACACTGGAATGATAGATGTGCATGAGATGATGTGCGAATAGAGATACTGGGGTACAAATGAGCAAAATAAATACGTTCTTTAAAGGGCGACTGCACTTCCTGATTCGGCCTCATTTTAGATTTCGTTCATTAAGAAATGCTAGCGACCATGACTGAATTAAAACGTGAGTTGGTTTCGGGGGGGGGTGGTTTGATGTGGGTGTCTCTTGTGTGTGTTCGCAGGTGGGAAGAGTTAGTCAAATCATTTCGCCAATTAGCTTCAGCCAGCTGGTGTGCGACCGTGGCAAAGTTGGTTTGACTTTGGATAGCACATCTCTGGGCATAGTTAGGGTCCATCAATAAATTACTCAATGTAAATGGGACAATATTTTCATGTTGCACATCTTCTAGTTTTCTCATTACATGCTTTCAATATTTGTATATGAATTTCTACAATTTATAGTTGGTTTGAGGTTTTTAAGTGATTTGGAATTTGGAGCTATTGAACTTTTAAAATATTGTCTCATGTACATTGTGTAATTTACTGATGGTCCCTAACTAGCCCCATAGGGATATAGAATGTCAAACCAAATTGACCATGGGCATTACATAGAAAAAATGCTATGATCTCGCAAATCTGTTTTGTATGAGACTGACTTTATGACCACAATTATCCTATTTGCAGTGTACACTTTGTAGTCAATTTTGACACTAGAATACATGTTTCTGACTCATATTGATGACACGTAGGCCGTTTTCAAAACGTGAAGTTACATTTTAGGGGCAGTCGCTCTTTAAAGCATTAACTGACATGCTTGTTGTTGGGTCGTACCGCCAATTAGGTGCCGTTTGGGGGGGAAAAAAATACATTCTGTCATACATTTTTTAAACATTCTGTCATAAATATATTAAGTGCCTATAAGTGCCAAATAAAGAAACAGGGTTGACCATAACATCTTTAATCATCCATAAATGCCCTCGTGACAGGGGAAATGGAAGCTTGGTGTGTGCAACAGGGAGGGCCAATTGAATGCAGGCTTCACAAAAACACTTAAATTGTTAAAACATTTCTAGCCTGTTTATTTATGGGTAATCCGCTAGGTTACTCGACCCGCTAGGTTTCCACCACAAAACACCAGAAAATGGCCAAAAAGAGTGAACCAGCTCACTTCTTTTTACACTATGATTTGACTATTAGATGTTCAATGTTTCTTTTGAAAATGTATTAAGAAATGAATAGTTTCAGCATATTAAAACCTGAGTTCAGTTCACTTAACATGGTTGACTTTAAAAATGAGGAGCAGGTTTTTTTTTAAACCTTAAAATGAATCACTAATCACATGAAATAAATAATAATCTACAGAAATGACTTTGTCAAAGCAACAGAAGAACTGGAGCTTTCCAATGGTTTTGAAAGCATGGATAAATGTTAGTGTTAAGTAGGTTAAAATCTTTCTTGAAGTCACAGAGGATTATTATTATTTTATTTTATTTTATTTTTTAGTCATTTAGCAGACGCTCTTATCCAGAGCGACTTACAAGAGCAATTAGGGTTAAGTGCCTTGCTCAAGGGCACATCAATAGATTTTTCACCTAATCGGCTCGGGGATTAGAACCAGCGACCTTTCGGTTACTGGCACAACGCTCTTAACTACTAAGCTACCTGCCGCCCCATGCACAGAAGGACATGTCAAAATGCAGAATCTTTGCATTTGAGCAAGCCTTGAGTCATATTAAAATCAGATTTATTGAATTTCCCATGTGGTCTATATTGAAGTGCACTTCATTTAATATAACAGGCTTTTTTATTTTATCAATATTTGTGAACAATTTCTACTTAAAATATAATTTCATTCAAAGGCACTCATTTCATGGAACAACCCTGTTATGTACTCAAATACATATAAAAGGGGAAGCCAGCTCTATAGAAGCTTCATCCCCTACCCTGATACTTTAAACACTTGCAGTCAACTACTGTCTGCTCCCCAATGCACTGTCAGTAAGACTTCCAAGACCTCACCACTTCAACCTACTGCGCCGTGGGTGATGCAACAATGGCCTCGAGAACAACAGCAGGACTTGTAGTCGCTCTCTTCTCCGTGGCAATGTGTTCTGGGGCAAAACGATGTGAGGAGTATCTGTGTCTTGAAGGGGTCATCAGTGGATCTGCCCTGTCCTCTTACTAATCCCAGTTGGAGCCGAGTCACAGAAAAAGTCTGGTGTAATAAATGGGCAAATGTGGCAATTCTCTCGTCTCAAACACTGGGGGTTGAGCGTCTCTCTCTGAGGAGCTGTGTACATGTCACTGGCCCACCTGTTGGCTTGCGCGATTCTTGCCATTCTCCTTAGACCTCTCTCGTCAACGAGCTGTTTTCGCCCACAGGACTGCCGCTGACTGGATATTTTTTGTTTGTCGCACCATTCTCTGTAAACCCTAGACACTGTCATGTGTGAAAAGCCCAGGAGGTCGTCCGTTTCTGTGAACCGGCACCTGGCACCGACGATGATACCGCGCTTAAAGTCCCTTAGGTCACTCGTTTTGCCCATTCTAACATTCAAACGAACAGTAACTGAATGCCTCGATGCCTGTCTGCCTGCTTCACATAGCAAGCCACAGCCATGTGACTCAATGTCTGTAGGAGCGAATCATTTTCGTGAACGGGGTGGTGTACCTAATAAACTGGCCACTGAGTGTATATCAAGAGCAATTTGATCCAGAAGCAAAAAAACATTAAAAGCTTTTTACTAATATAATCAATTTTAGAATCTGAGAAAATACATTGTAATAAAAAAATGCGTAAATAGCAAATCCCAAAGTTAGAACATAAACTACTATAGAAATAAATAGGTAGGTTACATAAACCAATATACTGTATTCATCAACATAGGTAATGAGAATTTCAAGAGAAGGTTAAAACTAATGGTCTGAAAAAACCTCCCAGATACAGTGAGGGGAAAAGGTATTTGATCCCTTGCTGATTTTGTACGTTTGCCCACTGACCAAGACATAATCAGTGTATAATTTTAATGGTAGGTTTATTTGAACAGTGAGAGACAGAATAACGACAAAAAAAATCCAGAAAAACGCATGTAAAAAATGTTATAAATTGATTTGCATTTTAATGAGGGAAATAAGTATTTGACCCCTCTGCAAAACATGACTTAGTACTTGGTGGCAAAACCCTTGTTGGCAATCACAGAGGTCAGACGTTTCTTGTAGTTGTCCACCAGGTTTGCACACATCTCAGGAGGGATTTTGTCCCACTCCTCTTTGCAGATCTTCTCCAAGTCATTAAGGTTTCGAGGCTGACGTTTGGCAACTCGAACCTTCAGCTTCCTCCACAGATTGTCTATGGGATTAAGGTCTGGAGACTGGCTAGGCCACTCCAGGACCTTAATGTGCTTCTTCTTGAGCCACTCCTTTGTTGCCTTGGCCGTGTGTTTTGGGTCACTGTCATGCTGGAATACCCATCCATGACCCATTTTCAATGCCCTGGCTGAGGGAAAGAGGTTCTCACCCAAGATTTGACCGTACATGGCCCCGTCCATCGTCCCTTTGATGCGGTGAAGTTGTCCTGTCCCCTTAGCAGAAAAACACCCCCAAAGCATAATGTTTCCACCTCCATGTTTGACAGTGGGGATGGTGTTCTTGGGGTCATAGGCAGCATTCCTCCTCCTCCAAACACGGCGAGTTGAGTTGATGCCAAAGAGCTTGATTTTGGTCTCATCTGACCACAACACTTTCACCCAGTTCTCCTCTGAATCATTCAGATGTTCATTGGCAAACTTCAGACGGGCCTGTATATATGCTTTCTTGAGCAGGGGGACCTTGCGGGCGCTGCATTATTTCAGTCCTTCACAGCGTAGTGTGTTACCGATTGTTTTCTTGGTGACTATGGTCCCAGCTGCCTTGAGATCATTGACAAGATCCTCCCGTGTAGTTCTGGGCTGATTTCTCACCGTTCTCATGATCATTGCAACTCCACGAGGTGAGATCTTGCATGGAGCCCCAGGCCGAGGGGGATTGACAGTTATTTTGTGTTTCTTCCATTTGCGAATAATCGCACCAACTGTTGTCACCTTCTCACCAAGCTGCTTGGCAATGGTCTTGTAGCCCATTCCAGCCTTGTGTAGGTCTACAATCTTGTCCCTGACATCCTTGGAGAGCTCTTTGGTCTTGGCCATGGTGGAGAGTTTGGAATCTGATTGATTGATTGCTTCTCTGGACAGGTGTCTTTTATACAGGTAACAAACTGAGATTAGGAGCACTCCCTTTAAGAGTGTGCTCCTAATCTCAGCTCGTTACCTGTATAAAAGACACCTGGGAGCCAGAAATCTTTCTGATTGAGAGGGGGTCAAATACTTATTTCCCTCATTAAAATGCAAATCAATTTATAACATTTTTTACATGCGTTTTTCTGGATTTCTTTTATGTTATTCTGTCTCTCACTGTTCAAATAAACCTACCATTAAAATTATAGACTGATCATTTCTTTGTCAGTGGGCAAACGTACAAAATCAGCAGGGGATCAAATACTTTTTTCCCTCACTGTAGGTCATTACATTTTTTACATTTAAGTCATTTAGCAGACGCTCTTATCCAGAGCGACTTACAGTTAGTGAATACATAAAAAGAAAAAAGAAAAAACTATTTTGTTTTTTGTCAAAAAAA